CATGTACCAGGCAGAGTGAGGTTTCCATTTTATTTGGCTTCCCAAAATAGTTCCAGGATCCCACATTGCACAGCATGATTAAAGGCAGTTTGATGGAGTAGCAATTACCTTCATTTGAAGTCAAAAGACTTGGGTTTTATTCCTAGCCCTGCCCCCTACAATGTGGTCTCCAAGGGCAAAGTCGATAACTTGAATGTGAAATTAGCAAGATGGATGAATACAACTTTCTGTGGCTCCCTCACTACCAACCAGCCGGCACTCCTGAAATACCAACCTCACCCAATGCCTCCTATTTTAACTTTTACAGCTTCTTCTCCTACTTCTTCCCCCAGCACTTAACTGTAAGAGAATAAATATGAAGTACAGTAGAAGCGTTCATCAGAGACCAACCAGATGTGGACAAAGACATGTGTGTACCTGCTTCGTTGATGTGTTTTAGTTGAAACGGTTCTGACAGCCAGGCTCTGAGGCAGGGCATAACTTGCCGATGTTCAGTGACTTGAAGGGACTCCAGCTGATTTTTAAAAGGATTGCATTTAGACCGTTGTGCTCTAGTGAGCAGTTCATGAGGCTTGAGATGCCTGTGAGAATTGGGCTGTGACTTTGTGGAAATGTTGTATAAAACCAACAACATCCTTGCTGATTCTGACACCTAGATGATATTTATCAGGAGAATTCTTAAGTTGATTGGCCTCAGTGTTTTTTAATTGTGACTTCTCTATATTTATATTTTGAATTTATTTTGCTTTCAGTTAAGTAATTTTTCCTCTCCGAAGGGGAAGAGATTTTTGTTTTAGATGAAAAAGTTCTGATTTAGTACTTCCTGTCTCCTATTGACAGGTGTCACAAGAAGTGAATCCACATAGATGGCCATTACCACATGTTGCTACAGATTTTAGGGTGTGTGTGTGTGTGTGTGTGTGTGTGTGTGTACACATGTATATAAAATGTTCATGCATATATATGACTCAGTCCACACCATCAGGTGTGTAGGGAGTGCAACATTATTTTTCTATAACTGAACTTAAATCCATTTGGGATTGCCATTCTTCTGGTAATGGAAATGCAAATTCAATTTATGAGCTCTATTTCATTCTCTCTTTCACCTGTCTAGAAAACTTACTGAGTGCCACAGTATAGGAACATGGAATCAGGTGTGTATTGTCGTATAGCAAGTTGACTTCTGTAGTGATCAGGGATAATCATCAAAATATACTGAAAATATCTAAAAAGCAAAATGGCACAGACACAAGAAATCAAAATGGATGTCTATAGTAACTAATTAGTACAAGTGAACAGCACATACCAGTGACCTTGCCCTTCTGGTCTTCAACCGTTGCTTCACCCAAACCACTGCTATGGCCTTTTGTCCCCATAGAAAAGCCTCTTCAAGTTTCTGTGCCACATCCAAGTGCTTCCCAGGAGCATTAAATATATTAGATTACTTTCATCCCACTTTGGGCCATGGAAACTATGTTTTCTCTACTGCTCGTTAGCACATGGGGAAATTATGGGCCTTGCATCTTCCTAGATTCTACTCAAGAACTGGATGAGGGAGGGGAGCTGATTTCAGAGGGCTACACTGCTCTTTATTTTCCCTTTATTATCAAGGTTTAAATTGGGTTTGGGGTGCCTGGGTGGCTCAGTTTGTTAGGCATCTGCTTTCGGCTCAGGTCATGATCCCAGGGTCCTGGGATCGAGCCCCACATTGGGCTCCTTACTCAGCAGGGAGCCTGCTTCCCCCTCTCCCTACTTCTCCCCCTGCTTGTGTTCCATCTCTCCATCAAATAAATCAATAAAATCTTAAAAAAAAAAAAGGAGGGGGTTAAGTTGGGTTTGGATCAGGTTACAGGTAGGATCAGGCACTCGAAATGGTCAGAACACAGATAATTTTCAGAAATCTTAGCTTCTAATTTGATTTTATGTTAAATTTTCTCCTCCTAAAGAATCTAAAGAATATTTAATAGGGGGCACTGTAGCCTGGCTCTTCATATATATTCTCAAATATTCCCCAGATTTTGTTTAGGACAAAAATTTTATGGTTTGAGTCCTGCAGGGATCTTTGCCTTGGTTGTTGACAATCAGGGGTCATTTTTCTACTGTTTTGTTGTTTCATACCTACCGAGGCAACAAATGTTGCCCAATATGCAGGAGAATGTTCACAGCATAATAAAGAATATCAAGGATGGATGCCTTCTCTTCTGGCCTCTTTGGTCTTAGCCACAGAAATGAGATGACCAAGGGGCCATCATCATTTGGAAAGTGTCACAATAAGACACACATGAAGGCCTACCACCTTTAGAAGTGGACCTGTGGCAAATGTGGAAGCAGAAGGTGTCCCTGGAGGGCCAAGGCTAAGAGACGAAATGCCACCAGGATCGGCCTTGTGAGGCACATAAAAATGGTATGCCATAGATTCAGGCCTGGATTCCATGAAGGAACCACACCTCAGCCCAAGAGGGCTGCTGTTGTGGCATCCAGTTCATCTAAAGGATTTCAATGATGAGTTGCACAATAAGTGTTCTGGTTTATTTAAATATATATATATATATATATATATATATATATATCAAGAATGGCAAACTTACTGGCTACTGTATATTTCAATATCCACTCTCTATGCTTGAGGCTTCTGACCCATCTGTCAAGTCTATACACGGACATCTCAAGCACAAGAACAGTCTTCCTTCTTGAGAATCCCCCAGCTTTGGGCCACACTCTTAGGAAATTCTTTGTTATAATGGTCTGAAATCTGTCTCTGTATAACTTTCCTAAGAATATTAAAATAAAGAGGAAAGAAAGCAACCAGTTACTCCTGCATTATCACTTCTCTCCAGGCCTCCTTTCAGATACTCTGTTTTGTTCACCCCCTTAGTCACCCAAAGGCAGGACCACATGCAGTACATAGAAGTTGACTCTCGGGAACCACAGCATTTTGTGTAACTCTTCTGCCATCCAAATTCCTGCCGAAATTCCTGATAAGCCGAAATTCCTGGTCTGGGCAAACAGCTTTTGATCAGTATGATTCCTTTGCCCATGAAAGGTGTCCAAGCCTAGTGGCACATGTTGGCGAGAGGTAACACGTTGGTCATTGGAATTGGAAACCCTCCACTGATAATGAACACGAGGCTCTGGGAGCCGGACATGGTCCAGCTCTGCTTGCGACTCAAGCCTCTTCCCTGCTGTTTCCACTGTCCTCTCACCATCCTGGACACTTTGTGGTTTCGATTTCTCTTCACTCACCATGCTTCCTTGTGACCCAGGCCTTTGCCCTGCTGTACCCACTCCTAGAAAAGATTTTTCTTCTCCTCTCTACCCACCAGCATTACCGTCCTTCAGATTTTAGCTCAAATGATCTAACCTTGGGAAGCTTCCCCAAGTTCCTTAATGAGAACGTTTATTTCTTGTTTTTTTTTTCTTTTAGAGTCACTGATTTATACTTCTTTGTATGATTATTAATTTCTCTTATTCTATCCTTATGGTTTATCATCCAGCTGACACATGGTAGCTGCACAAATCGTTTTTTCTTAATTTTCAATTTAAATTCAATTTAGTTAACATTTAGTGTTTTACTAGTTTCAGTCACACACAGTTTCTGAATGAATGAATGAAAAGTCCACACTTGTATGTATGGACCCACTTAGCAGGTCTTTCTCTGCTCTCTCCTGCCTCTCTTTAGCTCCACGTTTCCTTTTCCTCTTTAATTGCAGTGCCTGCTTCCAGCAAGCACTGGAATCAAAGAGATGGTTAAATCTGTGTATTTTTTTCTTCCTTAAGGCCAATTACAGGCTGTGGTGATGATTATTCTATGGAGTCAGCTAGACTTTGTTTAATGAGGAACAGGAATCTGCAGGGAAATACTATTTCCCAGGGTTTGAGTGAGGGATGGCAGCGGAGGGGTTGCAGAAAAAAAGACAGGGTGGGCTGGGAATGAAAGAAATCCAGGGAAAATTTTTCCCAAAAGTCATTTATATTGCTTTGTAACATTTACAATGTATCTTGTCATTCATTCCACCAATTAATGGAAGAAAGGTTCTCAACAAGTTTATAATAACAAGGGCGCCTGGGTGGCTCATTAGGTTAAACGTCTGCCTTTGGCTCAGGTCATGATCTCAGGGTCCTGCCCCACGTCGGGCTCCCTGCTCAGCAGGCAGTTTGCTTCTCCTTCTCCCTCTGCTCTTCCCTTCCCCGCTTGCGTGCTCTCTCTCGCACACTCTCTCTTTCTCTCAAATAAATAAAATATTTTTTTAAAAGTTTATAATAACAACCTCTGCTCTTGTTCATATTCTCTATCTAAAATGTAGCATACTTCAGATCAGATATTGTTACAGATCCCTTAATTTACAACTTCCCTTCAGATGCAGCCCACTAAGTTACATAAAACATTGTTGAAATATATCTTCATTTTTCATGGAAATCAGATATGGCAATTTGAACATCAAAGGCAGGCTTAAACCAGTTCTTGATTATATAAGCGGTGGTATTTTTCCAGTATAATTTTTTTTCCCACAACACATTTAGAAACCCTACCAAGAACTAATATTCAGGAAATATTTATTCTGACCAGTTGTCTCTTTAGGAAGGTATGATTAGACATTCACTTGGCATGATTTTAAGTGCTAATCTTGTTATATTGGTCACAAAAGTGAAACAAAAGAAAACAAATTTAAGCTTGAAAAATGATGGCGATTTGGATATGAACAGTTTGCTATAATTAAATATGGTAAAGATAAGAAGTAAGAAAAATTTATAGGAAGATGACTTTAAGTTTCTGTTTTCTTTTTGATATTTATTCATTCGAGACACAGAGAGAGAGAGCAGAGAGTAGGGGCAGGGGGAGAGGCGGAGGCAGAGGGAGAAGCAGGCTCCCCGCCGAGCCAGGAGCTGGACGTGGGGCTCCATCCCAGCCTGAGCCGAAGGCAGACTTCAGTTTTAAAAGCAAGTTTATTTGAAACGGAACAAAAAAAGTAAATGAGGCAGAGATTTATGATACAGGCATTTTATTCATGATAACACAATCCATGTGATCAAGAATCCACATACAAGTATGGATATGGAACACTGCAAATAATTCAATTACGCAAAACCAATTGAAAAGGCATAAAATCACCATCTGAAGGATTGGTCACTTTAATCTTTTTCCAATACTGTTTATTTGAAGGAAAGTCTGTTTTGATGGTTTCTATTTTTGTTAAGCAAAAAAAAAATATGAAACATAAAGAAGCAATGGCAATTTGTTCAGTGATTTTGTTCAGCACTGATTTGAGAAGGATGCTGTTGAAAGCAAAACAGTTTGACTTTGAAATATTGTTTCTATTACTTGGGTTTCTCTTGAAGTAATCTGTAAAGGTAGTTTGTGATCCAGTCATGAATTCTGAGGGCCTAAACGGACTGCATCTCCCCCCCCTCTTTTTATTAAATCTCTCCTCTAGTTCATTATGAGGTGGGTTAGAACACGTGATCAAGGTGAAGACCAGAAGTAGGAGAGTGGGCTTTTGGAGGCGGGGCACAGTGGAAAGTTTGGAGGGGACAATGACAATCAAGGTAATTGTGTTAAGAAATGCAATTCCTACATTAAAAACGAAATTGCTGTTTCTCCCTGTTGTTTGCTCCCACATTCCCTGTTTTGAAAAAAAAAAAAAAGCGAAATTTGTGCCTTAGCCGTGAATGCCCAACATAATGAACATATTTCGGATAGTTCAATGACCTCTCTGTAAAATAATTGGTGTCTATACAAATGACATTAGGTAGCTCTGCACACTGCTCCCTGTTCTGAGTAAAGTTAGGAAATGTATCATTTTTTTCTATATAGGTCAAGATTGCCCATTAAAACAGTTAGTATTTCCAGCTACATGTTTTAAGGCAGAAATATGTTTCAACAAAGCTAGTGTGGTCATAGCGAGTCTACCTTGTATACTGACTGAATAGCTATTTCAAATGCTAAGGCCCTATCAAGTGAGAACAATGGAATGTGTGACGTGTTTGGGATCATGAAACATTAAAATACAGGTACTAGAGTAGAAGATCAATTGTCTTCTCTGTGATTTGTTAGGCTGACCTTTTGACTGAAGAAGTACTAAGGAAAACCAGACTAATGGCCTTGCAGGCTCAAAGAAAAGGAAATCTCTAACCAAATCTAAATTGCATGAACTAGGGCACAGAGTTATTTTGCACAATTGCATTATTTCCCGCTGAGTAGATACTACATTTTTTTCCCTTTGTTTCATTTTTTTTTAAACCACTTCTAGCAGGAATAGAAGACAGTGGTAGCATCCATCACTTCAGGGACAGCTGGACACCCCTTACCCTTTGAACTGAAGTGAAGTGAGAAAGATGAATCCACCTCTCTCTAACCGTAGCCTGCATCAAGACTACTACCCAGGGAATTCTCTAGGTGGACAGATGAGTCCGTGAGGCTCTGTGCTGCTAGAAAAGGGGAATTGGTGAAGTGGGCAGAGACAGAGTCATTCAGTAATGTATTTTTTAGTTCATTAGGTGTCCATTGTAGACCTGTTATCTGTCAGACTCTGAGACAGACACTAAGGAGGCAAAGTTACTAAGACAGACACAGAGCATGCCCTCTTGGGGTTTACAAGCCCAGTGGGAGGTGTTAACCAAATAAATTACATTATGAGGATAAAATTGCAACTCTTGACAAAGAGTGTGAAAGAGAGGAAGGCCCGTTCAGCTCAGGATTTTATAAACAATGGTAATTCCATTACTTGTTTGGTGCCCATGAAGAACATTGGCCACTTTCAGAATACGTTATAAGATCTTGGAAAGGGTATATGTTATTGTCTCTCCTTGTCTATGTGAAGGCTGCATGATTGAATTGGTGCAAAAACACAAGGAAGTGGGATCATGTAAATTTGCTACTGTCTGGAATAAAATAAAAATTGGGGGAAGGAAAATATTTAAATTTTATGTTTTAATTTATTAAAATTATTTGCATTGGGCACAGCACAACTTCTCAAAACTTGGAATCATATTGAATACCACCCACCACTTCATTTCTTTTTCCATATTGATATTCACATAGTACTTGTTTTTTATTAATTAAACAGCTTTATTTTGAGATCATGGTAGATTCACACAGAATTGTAAGGAATTGTAAGAAAAATACCCTTTAGCCAGTTTCCCCAATGATAACATCTTGAAAATTATAATACAGTATCACAACCAGGACACTGACATTGATACAGTCAGGCTACAGAATATTTATGCTAACATAGGATCTCTCATCTTGCCAAATTATAGCTCCACCCACTTTCCACCAACTGCTACCTCTTCCTTAACCCTTGGCAGCCACTAACCTGTTGTCCATTCCCATAATTTTGCCATTACAAGAATGTTATATAAACAGAATCATACAACATGTAACTTTTTGGACTGGCTTTTTAAACTCAGCAAAATTCTCTGGAGATTCATTGAGGTGTAACCTAGTATAGTTACTTTGGAAAACAGTATGGCAGGTTCTTTAAAAACTGTAATCTCAGTGATGACATCTATTGCTTGTTTTACTTCATTCAACTGAAATCATCCTGGCTCTTGGTACTATGGTTTTTTAATGAAACCTGGACATTTTTGTATCATGGTATGAGATTCTGGATCTTGTTTTGACCTTCTGTTTAATTGGTTTTCTCTCTCTCTGCCCTGGCAAGGGTTGGGGGAGGGGCATTTTCTGGTTACCACTAGGTAGAGGTAGAAGTCTAGGTTCTCCACTTGGCCTCCATTGACACCTGAGGGTGGGTGGAGAGCCCTTATCGCTTCTGGGTTAGGTGAGAGTTCTGGCTCCCCTTGGGGTCTCCATTGATACGAGGGTGAGTTTGGTCTCATTACTGCTGGGTGATGCTGAATGTCTTGAGTCTCTGCCAAGCCTCCTCAGACACCGACCCTCCCCCAAGTGGTGAGGGGTAGGAATGCCTCATTAGGGCTGAGTGAGAGATGGAAGTCCAGGTTCCCCAAGTGATCTTCACTGATACCATGGAATAGGGAGGTGGACCTCATTTCCAGCTGGAGTGGTAAGGAGACAAAATCCTAGCTCCCTACTTGGCTTTTTTGGGCACCATTTTGATGGGGGTTTGGGGATGTCTCTTACAACCTCATGAGTATAGAAATCTAGACTTCTCACTCCACTTTTGATTGCATGAGTGGAGCTGGGCCACAGTTTTCTCTATGGAATTAGACTGGACTTGAGCAGTTACTGTCTAAAAGTTTTCTGTGCCCCAAAGGTGACCCTTCCCTGGTCTTTTGGCTAAAGAAAGCAGACTTTTTTCTTTTCTTTTGTTTTTTTTCTCTTTCCTTTCTTTCCTTTCCTTTCATTCCTTTTATTTTCTTTTCTGTTTGTGCTTGTTGGCATTTACAGATTGCTGGCTTCTGTATGTTCCGAGTATGGGATATACGTGGTAAAAAGAAAACCCAGGGAACTCACTTGGGACTCTCGATCCCTAGCTGGCCTGTTTCTTCTCTCCACCTTTCAGATCTTATGTCTGTCTTATGTATAATGCCTAGAAGTTAACTGTACTTAGAGGAGGAACAGGGAAAAGGATGTCTACTCCATCTTCCTAGAAGCAGAAGTCAGTATATTTTTTTGATTAATGTATTTTCATTCAAATTCTCTCTTCTTGATTTCAGTAAATAAGAGTCTAAATAACTCAGAAAGGAACATGGGCACACTCAAAATATATACCCAGAATCCAAACACTTTTCATCTTCATCACTGCTACCATTGTGGTCCAAACTATCACCATCTCCCATATAAATTATTGCAGTAATCTTATGATTGCTTCTCCCCTTGGTCCCTACTATTTATATTCATTACAGTAGCCAGAGTGGCTCTATTAAAGCTGTAGTTTGATCACTGTGCTCAAAATCTTCCAAGGGCTCTGCATCACTAGAGCCAAAATCCATATGATGGCCTACAAAACCCTATACATTCTGCATCCCCTTTACCTCTTTTGACTCATTTCCTCCCCTCACTCTGATGCAGCCATGGTGGCCTCTGGGCTGTTCTCACATGTTGGGCACATTCCCACTCAGGACTATTGCAGTTGCTGTTTCCTTCATCTGGAACATTCTTGCCCTGGATATCCTCATGGATAGCTTGACATCTTCTGTAAATCTTTTCTCAAATGTTACCTCCTCAGGTCTTCCCTGATTACCATGTTTAAAACTGCAACTGTGGGAAAAAGACAGTTTCTTCAATAAATGGTGCTGATAAAAGAATGAAACTGGACCACTTTCTAACATCATATGCAAAAATAAACTCAAAATGGATTAAAGATCTAAATGTGAGACGTGAAATCATAAAAACCCTAGAAGAGAGCACAGGTAGTAATTTCTCTGACATCAGCCATAGCATCATTTTTCTAGATAGGTCTCCTGAGGCAAGGGAAACAAAAGCATAGGTAATCTACTGGGGCTACATCAAAATAAAAACTTTTTATACAGCAAGGGAAACCATCAACAAAACAAAAAGGCAACCTACTGAATGGGAGAAGATATTTGCAAAAGACATATCCAATAAAGAGTTAATGTCCAAAATATATAAAGAACTTATACAACTCAATACCAAAAAAATAATCCAATTAAAAAATGGGCCAGGGACCTAAATAGCTATTTTCCAAAGAAGACATACAGGTGGCCAATAGGCACATGAAAAGATGCTCAACATCACTCATCAACAGGGAAATGGAAATCAAAACCACAATGAAACTGAGGAACCTTGCATCAGTTAGAATGGCTAAAATCAAAACGACGAGATGTAACAAGTGTTGGTGAGGATGCCGAGGAAAAGGAATCCTTGTGTACTGCTGGTGGGAATGTAAATTTTTGCAACCACTTTGGGAAACAGTATGGAGGTTCTTCGAAAAATTAAAAAATAGAAATGCCATATGATCCAATAATTCCCCTATTGAGTATTTACCCAAAGAAAATGAAAACACTGATTCAAATAGATATATGCACCTCGATGTTTATTGCAGCATTAGTCAAGATAAGGAAGATGTGGTGTGTATATATCAAATATCACACAGCCAGAAAGAAGATGAGATCATGCCATTTGAGACAACACGGACGGAACTAGAGGGTATTATGCTAAATGAAATAAGTCAGACTGAAAAAGGCGAATACAATATGATCCCACTCATAAATGGAATCTTCAGCAACAACAACAACGAAAACCAGATGTATTAACAAACAAAAAGCAGAATCAAACCTATAAATACCGAGAACAAACTGATGGTTGCCAGAGGGCAGGGGTTGGAGGGTTGGGGAAAATGGGTGAAGGTGAGAGGAAGGTACAGGCTTCTAATTATGGAGTAAATAAGTCATGGGAATAAAAGGCACAGCATAAGGAATACAGTGAATGACATGATGGTAGCGATGTAACGGGATAGATGGTAGCTACACTTGTGAACATAGCCTATTGTATAAACTTGTTAAATCACTAAGCTTTACACCTAAAACTAATGTAACATTGTGTGTCATCTATACTCAAATAAGAAAAATAAAACTGCAACTATCCATCACTCCCTCAACCCCACATGTCCTCCTCTTCTGCTTTATTTTCTCCATAGCAATTTTTCTTCTGTTCTGCCATATAAGTTAGTTATTTATTTGGTTTATGTTCTGTCTCTATTCAAATGTAGACCCCACAAGGGACAAGTTGTCTCATTACACTATTTCACTGCTGTTTTCTACATCATGAACAGTGCCTGGCATATACTAACTGCTCCATACATTGCTGTTGAATGAAGAAATTACCTGCATATCCAGGCTTTATGAGACAGAAACAGTTTCACAACAGCCAAAGCTCTGATGGTCTGACTGACAGCAGCTCTGGTGACACAAGGTAAATTCTAGTAGATGTTCCTCTAGATGCATTTATATATGGATCTCTGTTCTAGTGTTGTGTCACTATATTTGTTTGATATTCTTCGTCTCTCTGTGTCTGCCTCTCCCTTTCTAGACTCTCTACCAATTACACGGTTTTCTCTATTTCTAAAAAAAAAAATGACAAGATCGAATCTGATTGGTCCAGTGAATTGTCATCATGCCTTGGCAAAATCCTTATAACAGATCACATTGTAGGCCAGCAGGTATGGAATACCCTTGGGCCAGCCATGGGTCAAGGGGTATAGTACATGACTACCTCTGCTGGATCAATCACCTAAGGCTGTTTTCTCAAAAGCAGCAAATTGATAAGGCAGAGGCCCAGACAGGAGTAGATTCTTCTCTAATAGGCTAGGCAACTCTGTAGATTTGCAAAAATTTTTATAGATTTACATATAAAATCCTCCAATTCTTTTTTTGACTGTGATATCTGTAGACAAGCTACTCAGCCTACATATTAGAAAGGTGGAAACAAAATCATGACTCACCGTTTATCAAAGGGATCCCTGACCTTTTTGACTTTCTGTCCAGGAGAGGACTGAACTCCTCGAAGAACTTAAGAATCTATGCAAGAAATAGCAAATAGTTTCATTTAACTCAGCTTTTATTTTTGAAATGAAATTGAATTTCAATCCAGACAAACAGAAAGGCTTTCCTCTTAGGTTTATACATTGTCAGAAAAGAGATAAAACCCTTTGCTTTGCTGCATATCTTGGAGGGGCCCACAAAACCCTTGCAAGTTCTTAGGTGCTATGTCTCACGTATTACGGCTCTACTATGGTGTTTTTCTTTCTTTCTTTTTCTTTCTTTCTTTCTTTCTTTCTTT